CAGGCAGACAGACAAAGACAGAAAAGCAGATTTGACAGTCAGACAGAGGAACGTAGTGGGTAGACAGACATTGCGAGACGAGGGGGCCAGATAGATGGAGGAGTATAGCGATGCGCACTGTTTATTTTGATGACGAAGGGTATCAATTCAGTGAACGCAGCTCATCTGTTCATCCCGTACGAAGGATGTCGGGATCCCTGTTGTTGTCAGGGGTAAGTCGGAGAATCGGGTCAGGCAATTGTCGGGGACAGTAGCGTTCTCTCTCTCTCTCTCTTTCGGTTTCTCTCTCTCTCTCTCTCTGTCGGTTTCTCTCTCTCTCTCTCTGTGTCGGTTTCTCTCTCTCTCTCTCTCGCTCGCTCGCTCTCTCTTTTGAATATATCTCCAGTGGATGCAATCGATCTTCTCAAAAGATCTTCTCTTGAAAATCCCCGTCCGTGCAGATATTACTGTATGTTGTCAATACTGCCTTCTCTCTAGATTCCCAGATGTGATTACTGCAGTCTCCTTTCTTTCTTTGGTCTTTACTTCTTCCTTCTTTCTTTCTCTTTTCTTCCTCTTCCTTCCTTCTTTCTCTCTTCTTCTTCTTCTTCTTCTTCTTCCTGTTCCTCCGCTGTTGTTCTTTCCAGATACGCTGTTATCGACGACAAGGCTTGCCCTCTTTGTTCTGCTTTCTTCAGCCATCACCGAAGATAGCAGTTGCCCCTTCATCCTTCTCCCTTCCTTCCTTCCTTCCTTCCTTCCTTCCTTCCTTCCTTCTTCTTCTTCTTCTTCGTCTTCTTGTTCTTCTTCTTGTTCTTCTTGTACTTGTTGTTCTTGTTCTTGTTGTTCTTGTACTTGTTGTTGTTGTTCTTGTTCTTCTTGTACTTGCTCTTCTTAGAGCTCAGTTGTGCATGCGGATGTACATGGACGTTTTTGAAGGAGCGTGCATGAAAGACAGTCTATGACGTCTGGTTATCACTATTCGTCTACTTCATAGTGCCGAATGCGTCGGGGAATGTGCGCGTTTGAGCTTCTTCACTATGTCCGTGTGGCAGCTATCACGAAAGGCAGTCTATGACCCCTTCTATCTATCTGTCACCTTGAGCTTCACTTCAAGGTGTGAACATTATGCTACTTGTATATGCACGAATGTTTAGCGCCTTGCTGTCATATTCTTAGTGCACGAAAGGTAGTCTATGACCCCTGTTTATCACTGTTCTTTTGCTTCTTAGTGCCTTGTTCCTCTCAGTTCAATTCCTCTTCTTCTTCATGTGGAAGGTGACAGATAGATAGAAGGGGAAAGGAGAGGACCGTCTATTGCGTGGGCAATTATCTTCCTCTACCGTCTTCCCCCAAGTGGAAAACGCACGGTCATTGTCGCTGTAGGGCTCCGTTTGATCTGGACTGAAACTTGCCGCAATACCGCTAGAATGACCGTCCTTTATATTGGGGGGAAAAAGCCAGTAGGGCTCCGTTTGATCTTGCCCATCTCGCCTCTCTCCTGTCTCTCTCCCTTTCTCATTTGTCCTGTCCATTGTCTGGTGTCCTTACGTTTAGTTATTTATTTTTTTATTTATTTACAGTCTGTTTGTCGTTCTTACGTTCTTTCTTTGTTTCTTTGTTTCTTGAAATTGTTTCTTTTTTGATGACGAAAGGAAGTTCGACTGTCGCCCTTTTTTTTTCTAAGTAAAACAGAAAAACGTGTTACGAATCGAGACATACTTTTGCTGTCTGTATCCGATCCCCTGCCTGCCTGTCTGCCTGTCTGCCTGCCTGCCTACTAATCGAGACATACTTTTGCTGTCTGTATCCGATCCCCTGCCTGCCTGTCTGCGCCTGCCTGTCTGCCTGCCCGCCTACTGTCGCCCTTTTTTTTTCTAAGTAAAACAAAAAAACGTGACGAATCGAGACATACTTTTGCTGTTTGTATCCGATCCCCTGCCTGCCTGTCTGCCTGCCTGCCTGCCTATCTGTCTGCCTACCTGTCTGCCCACATGCTGCCTCAACATCCGCATGTTAATTAACGAGAGCTAAATCAATCAAACATGATGACCATCGTCTGTATGTTGCCAAGCTCGAGGGAATTCCCGACCTGCCTCTGTCCCTTCGTCCCTCGTCGAGCCTTCTAATCGAGTACAGGTTGAGACAATCGTCACAATCTGCAGTCCGACAGATCTATGACGATGGTCCTCCTCCTCCTCCTCCTCCTCCTCCTCCATCACGGCTTTGCTGATCCTTTTTAAGCCTCTCTTCCCCAGTCCCGGTATCCTCCTCCGCAGATCTCGGTCTCATTTGTTCCCCATGTTCCCCACTCACTCAATCTGGAACCCAGCCGCAGCCGCACCCTCCCCTCCTCCTTCCATTACGTCCTTCGCCCACTTCCCTCCCTCCAACAATCGTAAAGATCGTCTCACGCTCCTCGGTTTCCTTCCCGGAACGACATCCTTTTCCTCGATCCCGACTTGTTGGAAAAGACCCCCCCCTCCCCCCACCCCACCCTTCCACGGGTAAAACTAAATCGTCCTACCTTCCTTGCACCGAACCCTCGCCGACTTTCTTCAGTTCCCATTCCCCTCCAGGGGGCTGAAGAAAGTCTCATATTGTGGGTGACTTTCTTCAGCCCCCTCCTCTCCTCCTCTCCTCCTCTTCTTCTCCGACTTCTTCGTCTTCTTCTTTGTCGCCTTCTTCGTTTTCCTCCTCCTCCTCCTTCTTCTTCTTCTTCTTTGTTTTTGTCTTCTTAGATCAGGTGGAATTGGTTCTTCAGGGTACAGGAGCCAGCAAGAGTGGAAGACAGACACCAACGCGCACTGGACAGCTACTCCTCCCTTTCCCAAATGGCGTCTTCCGAGTCTCAGAGTATAGCTACCGTCTTCACCCGAATAGAACGCCCGGTCATTACAGCTGCATTTGGCGCAACTTTCAGTCCAGATGCAGCGATAATGAGTGGGCGTTTTATTCGGGTTGAAGACGCTAGTGAGAAGGTCAGAAAAAGAAGAGCTTGAACCCTCATTACCCGAATAGAACGCCCGGTCATTATCGCTCGCGGTATCTAGACGGAGCCCAAATTCAGATATAATGACCGGGCGTTCTATTCGGGTAATGACGGTGGCAGTTGAAAAAGCAGAATATAATCTCCCAGAGGAGGACTCAAGCAGCGATCTCTACTCCGACATACTAGGTTCAGGGAAAAACAAATTCGACGAATAGAGATGATGGGAACTTAGGGACCTACAAATGTGGGCTACAGGCCAAACTAAGTAACAAGGTACCTCAAATTTTTCCTTCTGCTTCTGGTTGTCTAGCAATGCCTTCTACTGCTTGTCCAGCAGCAGTACCCTGACCTACTCCAGGTCCAATTGAAGATAAACCTACTGCTAATCCAGCAGCAATTACAGAAGCAGCAGAAATCAAAGGATTCATAAAGATCTCCTCACTTAAGGGATTTAACAAAC